TTGAAGTTGGAGTTTAGGCTGCGAGCCCGACAAACCCTGGAAGCCTCATGAGCCGTAAAGCTTAAACCCTATATCATAAGCTCGATGAGCCCCATAAGCCCTAAACACCTAATTGAAACCCTAAACCCTAAACCCCTAAACCCTAAACCCCTAAACCCCTAAACCCCGAAATCCCTAAAACCTAAACCCCTAAACCCCTAGACCCGTAAACCCTAAACGCTAGTCCCTGAACCCCTAAACCCCGAAATCCCTAAACCCTGAACCCCAAAACCCCTCAACCACACAGACCTTCCAAAATCCCTTAATTAAGGAATATACCTTAAATCATATTCGGGATCCTATTATAGTTTAAGGTATATTCCTTAATTAAGGGATTTTGGAAGGTCTGGGCACTCATGCCAAGCTCGCCGCGGTAGTCCATGGGCTCTCCATCCGGGAAGAGGGTATCCCTCAGAGCGAAGCCGACTGCGTGGTTGTCAAAATAGTACCCTTATGGATCCCTTTCAAGGAACCCTTATATAGATCCCCTTAAAGGAACCCTTCTAATAACCCTCGGGTAGTTGTCAAAATTAAGGTCCCTTTTTGGGTCCTTATTATGATACGGCACCTAATAGTTAGGGTACCCAAAAAGGGACCATAATTTTGACAACCACCTGACTGGAGGCTCTCGGGCTTTCACGAATTGCAGATAGTGGGCGTTGTAATATCGGGGCCTTACTATTTTTTGGGGTTTAGGGTTTAGGGTTTAGGGTTTAGGGGTATATACACTAGTTAAAACAGGGAACCCCAGAATAGTGTAGGCACTTATTCTGGCCCCGACATTATATGTTTAGGGTCCAGAGCCCGGGCTTTTCGGGTACCGACACACCCTTAAGACTCAGAGCTTTCAGCACAACTCCCAGACAGCAGCATCTAAACCCCGCAGAGAGCACTCTTCCTCTAAGGATTCGCTCCCGAGTCCCGCACCAGTGTCCGGGAAACGGCTCCAAAGTCAACTTTTTCTCCTTTGCAATCTCCGGCGGAATTGAGCTGAAAGGGACCAAGCTGTCTATCGCCGAATAGGGCCAGTCCCAATACTCCTTCAAGCATGGCCCTCTGCACTTCTGGCAACCCCTTCCCTCACTTTGGTCCCAACACAAACAAGCAAGCGTAATCTAGGGGCCTTAAGAATCAGAATAGGGTTTTGGGACATAATGTACTAGAACTATAACAAGGAACCCTGGGAATAAAGTAGGCATCTGGCATTCAGATCACAAGGGTGACTAAGACGATTGTGTAGCCACATCACATGCGGGTCTGCTGGGACTCAGCAACCCGAAAGCCTAAACCGTAAGACCTAAAGCCTAAACATCCCTTAGCCCTATTCCAGGGTTTCTGAAACAGAGAACCAAGGCAAGTCAATGCAACGTACGTCTCGTGGAGGCCTTGAACGTCGTGTTGTTGGCCTATCACAAAGTCAGAGAGAGGCAGTGATCAGGTGATCTGAACCCCCTACAGGCCCTACAGGCCTACCCCGGCTACAAGTAGGACTGAAAGCATGCAGTCTACTCATCTGTAAAATGCCCGAGCTCCTGTCAGTGCTTCGATTGTGTCGTGCTTAGCAATCATCGGAAACTACTACTGCAAGCATCATCCACCGACCGAAGCTCAACACGTATGCTACAACCGCTGGCACATGACCATCTGAATCAAACATGGGCGTATGCATGTCGACAGAAACTGCGAGCAGAATCAACGATAGCGACTAGGAGCCTAAAGCACGGCTTACGATCACGGAAGGGACCGACCGACACTTTCCGATTGCAGCCTTCGCTGCAACAATGTAACAGAGCTGCTGCAGCAGAACCAGCAACAACGATGAAAATCAACACCAGCACTAACACCAATCAAGATTCAGAACAACAACAGCCACAGGCACAAAATGGCAGCAGGCGGCATGCTGGCAGCAAACTAAACTTGTTTGAGCTAAGGACACATCTGTTGCGAAGTTCTACGCTGCTACTGCAGCTGCTGAGCAGTCGCTGTCATAGCCACTAGTGTGAGTGGTTTGCTGTGGTTTAGGACAGGAGGGTGTCGGTTCTGGGAGGTTTAGGGTGTACTGTCCGCAAACTCCGGACAGCATGTACTTCAGAGGGTATACTTTGTCTTGGAATGCTGGTTGAAGGATTCTTTCCTTAATGCGGGGGTATCGGGCCAAGGGCTGTGGAGCTACCGTACCGTCTCCTCCGAACAAAGATTGCTTAAAGGATCATGGGACTTAGCAACTAGGTTATAATGAGGGTGACTATACTTATATCCCCAATTAAGGTACTTATAACCTTACTTAGTAAGTCCCGTGATCCTCCAGGTGTGGTTAGACAGGAAAAGCTCCGAAGAGTTCACGAAGAGTGTAGGCCGTAGAACGGTCTCGTCGTGCGCGGGAGAAGGGTGTGCTGTGAGGTTTAACGTGCGTCCCCGATTCGTGTCCGGGCTGTATGTGCTCTGTCTCACCTCGTAGCAGGGCTAGGATACGAGGGAGAACCAGAACCAGGACGAATCATCAGCGTCATCACCAACTGCGTGTGACAAGCATGATTGTCACGGGTAGTTCTCTACATCAGGGTCTAAACGGGACCCTTTTGTAAAGGCGTATTCTTCTGGGGACCTAAAAAGGGACCCTAATGTGCAGAACTACCCCTCATCATGATCACCGCATTTTACAGCGGAAATGGCTGTGAGGCAGCCTGTGTGGATGACGAAAACTGGCTTGCACAAGAGTGACCCAGGATAATTCTATACTGAACTTAGAACCCTAGCCAAAATTTTTTAGCTGTTTCTTAAGGATAACAATAACCAAAAATTAAAAACTATTTCTAAGTACCCCTATGAATTCTGGTGCATGAGAAGAGACGGGGAGGAGAATTGTTGAACGGTTCGGTTTGAATAGGATAATTGTGGGGATGGGAAGAGACGGGGACGATACTTTCAAAAGGTTTGAAAAGGGTTTCAGGCTAGATTCTACTACAATGGGTTTAGGGGCTACGGTTCAAATGAAGCAAGGACTATCAGGCAGCGGCATCCGTTCGGGATTGAGGTATACGGACCTGGTGCTGCCTCGAAGTAAACCCTGGACCCTAAACGCCAAACCCTAAACCGCTGCAAAACCGTAAGCTATGAACCCTAAACCCTAAACCCTGACACCCTAAACCCTGAAAGGTTCTTAGCATTTTGCACCGTCAAGCCTGGGCTTGAGATGTCAGGTTCGGAGAGTCGGGTCTGACTTTTTTTTGGGAGCTTCCGAACATAGGGACCCCTAATAGAGTACGCTAAATGGTAGGATACTTATTACAGGGACCCCAACATAGGGTACCCCTGATTTTCGGCAACTCCCATATAGGGGCCTCTATGACCAGAAAAGTGTTTTTTAAGGGCTGTGTCCTTACGTCATGTGTATTCATAAGGAACCCTAGGCAATAGTTTTTGAATCTGATAAATAACTATTCCGGCCCCCACATTAGTTGCGGTTGGAGTTCATTGTCCCGGTCGCCAGAACCGGAACTATGGAAGTCCCGTGCCCTTTCAAGCACGCGGGCATGCACGGCACGAAAGCGTGATGACAAGAAGAACTTGGACAAACGTTTATAGCGACATCCCCTACATAATTCTCTCCCTCCTCCCATTCCTGCACATTTCCACGGCCCTGTGGCAAAATCGGAGCGACTAGCAAGATAGGAGCGATATGCTTAACTACCAGCGGCCATTTACGACCCCATAAGCCCAAGTCCAGCAGTTGAATCCTCAGGAAGTCTGCCAGAATCGTCAGGCTTCCCGTTGCTTCCCCCAAGACTGGGGTTTAGGGTTTGGGGTTTGCTGGCCTTAGCCAAACAACCGGACAACGGCATTTAGGAGGTTTTCTGGTTAGGACAGCTACCCGCGCCGATGCTTTGGACATGCGCCCCTAGGACTACATATCGAAACCCGGAGAGCCCAATACTCCTTGATTCAGGAACACCCTTGGAGTTCTTCTAACATGTAAGGCTTCCTTGTCTCTGTTGCTTGCCATTCCTGAATCAAGCGGGTCTCTTCGGCTCTCTAGGAAGGGTCATCGGTGCTTGTAATCTTAGACAGCGACGGACCACTAGGTGAGGTTGTCAGTAGTTCCATATTCTCCTGAGGGTTGAAGGCTTCGCAGTGTAAATCCTACACCCCCGGCTAAACCCCAAACCGGGGGGGGGATTGAATGTGTGGGATGGGCCGGGACGTATGGTTTCACCTGGGCGTGATTTTGAAACCCAATGACTAGTACCGGGCCCTCAATACTCGCACAAAGATGAAGGTTATAGTAGATTCATAACGCGAATTTGACCAGCCCTACAAAAAGGTTTAGAGTCTAGGGTCTGGGGTTTAGGGTTTATTAATTAGGATTTAGGGTCTATGGTTCAGGGTCTAGAGTTTAGTTTTTAATTTTATTTCTTTGGATCCGTGTGGCACAGGGGCCTGACTGACTAGAAAAGCATTTTGGTGTTACGTTACGATGGATTCAAGTGTGACTATATTGCGCTTGAAGGGGGGCTCGATACTGTATACTTATTTTGACCTCTACATCGACATACAAACATCCAACGAAGACCATGGAGAGACAGTGTCTTGAAAAGAAGCAAAGCCCTGTAAGTTGCGCAAAAACAAAAAATCCTATCAACCTTTCATCCTAACCTCTAAAACCCAAGCCCTGAACCCTTGAACTTAAAATCTGAACCTACGCCCTGAAATCTAAACCCTAAACCCGGAACCCTCAACCCTAAACCCTGACCCTCCCTCTCTCTCTCTCTCTCTCTCTCTCTCTCTCTCTCTCTCTCTCTCTCTCTCTCTCTCTCTCTCTGATATATATATATATATATATATATGTATATATACATATAGAAACGTTATAACCAATAAGTTTTTTTAAAAAAAACCTTAAACCCTATGGAAACCCTCAAAGGAGGAGCTGTGGGGGGTGGTGGGGTGGATCCTTGTCGTTTTCAGGCTCTGAGCCCGGCCTTGTCGATGGCCTTCGGAACCTCGGAGGGGGTTTGAGGGTTTTAGGGTTTAGGGCTTACGGGGTTTAGGGTTTAAGGCTTAGGGTTTAGGTGTTTAGGGTTCGGGGTTTAGGGTTTTAAGGTTCAGGGCTTATTTAGGGTTTTGGGCCTTGGGTTTAGGGTTTGGGGTTTAGGACTTAGGGCTTTAAGGTTTAGCGTTGAAGGGGAGTTTGAGGTTTTGAAGGCTTTGGATTTGGGGTTTAGGTTTTAAGGGGAGTTAAGGGTTGCAAAGGGCTTTTAGGGTTTTAAGGTGTAGGGTCTAGGGTTTCCTGGGATTTAGGGCTTTACGGGGATTTAAGCGTTTCCCTTTAAAGGAATTAGGGTAAGTTGGCGTTTCTGAGTTCTTGTTAAGGAACTTAATTTAAGTTACCATAATAAGGAAACCCTATTATTTACGATAGATCCCTATTATGGTAACTTAAATTAAGTTCCTTAACAAGAACCCAGGTTTTGGGGGATTTAGGAGACTTGGGGACGTCCGGGCCCAGGGCGTTAGGGGTGTTGGGGCCCTTCGGGCTTTCAGGGTTTACAGTAGGAGACAGCCGGTTGTGAAACGCTGCGCCCCCAGGCCGTCGACGTAATATAGGGGCCTTAGGGTTTAGGGTTTAGGGTTCTGGGGCTACAGTAGAAGGGAACTCCAGAAAGTTGGAATATGGGTTTAGGAGGATTCGTGCTAGGATCCCTTGTCCTTTATTTTAGGGACATGAGGATACCAATGTTCCAACTTTCTGGCTTCTATCATAGGGGTTTTCGGACTTTAGTCGGGTCTTGATGCTTTTAGGGTTTAAGGGTTTAAAAATTTAGGGTCTACAGGGCTCTTGTAAGTTTTGTAATTCTGAATTGGAGTGGAGCTTGTGTGGATTTCCTGTAAGGCTTCCATATTGTAACTACCGAGGACCCTTGATTATACACCCCTAAACCCTAAATCCAAAACCCTAAACCTTAACACACATTCTTTATTATTTCTAAACCGTAAACACAACTCTACTTTGAAACTGCTCGATCCGGAGCTGCTGAACCCTAAACCCTAGACCTTAAACCCATTCTCAGACCTTCCAAGGCCACTGAGACTCCATGTACCCATATTGTATATACTTAGGCCTTAAAGTACCCATATAGGGACCCCTTTAAGGCTTAAGTTCCTACTATTAATAAAGGTACATGGGGCCTTTGGGAAAGCCACTGAGCCCTAAACCCCAAACCCTAAACCCAAGCCGGTTTAGGGTTTAGGGTTTAGGGTTTAGGGTTTAGGGTTTAGGGTTTAGAGACTGAGACTGAGGCATCTCTTTCTTCGTTGAAACGGACGAGGGCGGTGTTGTGTTTCTCGAGAACCACCTCTGTGGGGCTGCCGTAGTCGGCTTACGGAGCTCTTTCCCGGGGTTCGGGGTTCAGGGTTCAGTTTAGTGTTCAGGGTTCAGAGTTTAGGGTTCAGGGTTCAGGGTTTAGGGTTCAGAGTTCAGAGTTTAGGGTTCAGGGTTCAGGGTTCAGGGTTCAGAGTTTAGGGTTCAGGGTTCAGAGTTTAGGGTTCAGGGTTCAGGGTTCAGAGTTCAGAGTTTAGGGTTCAGAGTTCAGGGTTCAGGGTTCAGAGTTTAGGGTTCAGGGTTTAGGGTTCAGGGCTTAGGGTTCAGGGTTCAGAGTTTAGGGTTCAGAGTTCAGGGTTCAGGGTTCAGGGTTCAGAGTTTAGGGTTCAGGGTTCAGAGTTTAGGGTTCAGGGTTCAGAGTTTAGGGTTCAGGGTTCAGGGTTCAGAGTTTAGGGTTCAGAGTTCAGGGTTCAGGGTTTAGGGTTCAGGGTTCAGAGTTTAGGGTTCAGGGTTCAGGGTTTAGGGTTCAGGGTTCAGAGTTTAGGGTTCAGGGTTCAGGGTTTAGGGGTCGGGGGTTCAGGGTAATCGTAATGGCAATAAGACGGTAGCAGCAACATTAATACACAAACTAGCCATATGAATAAAACGGATTCTTCTGGCTTGGGAGAATCAAAGCCGTCTGTGCCCCGAACTCCCTGTAGTTCAGCGGGCTCCGGAGCTCAGCAGTAGTGGAGTGTAATGCCTAGTTGTTCATCGCAAGTGTGTGATAAATAAACACGAAATCAAAATATCGAAGGCTTTGTGGCTGGGGGGGGGGGTCTTCGTGTATGTGCCTCAGGGCTGCCTTGTGGCAACTGAAGGTAAACCTGATCCGAAGGATCTCACTGGCCCAAAACCCAAGGAAATTAGAGTTGAAACTTTCAGAATCGATGACCTTATAAGATCCCCAAAAGCTGGAAAGTTGAGTTTACAGCCAATAAGGGATCCACTTGGCAATCACTGAAGCCTTTAAACTCCGGAGCCGGCCTTCCGAAAAGGTTCGGATCATAGAAACGAATCCCTTAGAAGCTGCCCCCACCCTGTAATAGTAAATATAAGGAATATATTATGGCCCAACTATACTCCTATTACAGGGTGGGGGCAGCTTCTAACGAATCCCAACCAACCATCCAGGGATTCGAAGGGTCCCTAACATAGGGCCCTAATCATGAGAACAGGGTTCTGGTGTAGCAAAATAGGTAGCTGTATAACGAGATGAACCGAATGCTCGGGAAATAACTAGGAATATTAGTACTAGTATTATTATTATTAATCATCAATAGTCGTATTATTGTCATCATCTTCTTCGTCTTCTTCTTCGGACAAGGGTGTCCCAGCGACTAGGCCAAGATGGTGAACCCATCCCTGGAAGCAGGACCTGGGAAATGCCGAGCACGCCGTGCGAGCGGAGGTGCGTGACCTGATCTATGGGGTTTAAGTGTTTAGCTAAAAGGGTTTAACGGTTTTTGATCTATGGTAGGTTTAGATTTGGATTTAGGGTCAACAATTGGTTTTGGTGCTGGGACAGGATTTGGGCTGCGGCTACAGGGTGCAGGGTTCTTTGCTTTCTGGTTTGGCTCCGTCATCGGACGTTAGGGTGCCGGGGTTCCCCCATACATCACCACCATCACCATCATCAACAACAAAGGCAACGACAACGGCAGCAACAGCGGGAACAGCAGAGGCAACAGGAGCACAGCAGCAGCAGCACACGTGGCAAAAGCAGCAGCAAAGGTAGCGATTGCTGACTGCAACAGTAACTGCGACCCCTAAATCCTAAACTCGAAACCCCAAGTCCGCAAAACCTTTCGAAGCATCCTAAAGCCTAAACCCTAAATCCTAAACCGAAGCATAAGTAAAAAAACAAGCAAGCAGTCGACGCCCGCAACCTGCAAAACGCCAAGCCATCTAACCACGTTCTGATCTCTGATAGTCTAGACTACTGAAGGCCGAACCTCTCAACTCAACCCGGAAAGGCTTCAAAAAGGATGGACCAACCCAGAATCCTGACTGTAAGCCCTAAACCCTGAACCCCGAACCCTAAACCCGAAACCCTAAGCAACAGGCCTTGAACCCTCTAGCTAGGCTCTGGGCAAGCTCAGACTTTTCCATTTTCTTCGGTAGGCCGGAGACCTCGCTGAAGGTCGGTGTTTTGCATGGTTTAGGGTTTGGGGGTTCGACACGGGCTTTAGGGTTTTGGGTTCAGGGTTAAATAAGGGTTCTGGGTTTAGGGTTCTGTCAGGCCTCATTTAGCGCAAAGGCCTCGAGAGCGGGGACTGTGATAGTATCATCCGGGTGTGCGAGCCCTCACTTTGACAATCTTCGCTTCAATGGCCCCCTGACATGCCTTGCTAGTTGTTATAGCGAGTAATTTGGTGAATATTCTACTATGATTACGTAAGTTCATGCTGGGATCAAGGCCCCCCATACGGGAGTTTCCGGAACCCTAATCTGGCACCCTGAATAGTGGGATCCTTATTATACGGACCCCACAATAAGGTACCCCCTATTTTCGGAAACTCTAGACCCTAAACCCTTTATAGAACCCTTATAGATCCCTTTAAGGAACCCTTATAGATCCCTTTAAGGAGCTCTTATAGACCCCTTTAAAGGTACCCCCCCAATTTTCGGAAACTCCCATATTTCACCCTAAACAAAGGGAGCTCTAGAGTCTCTAGGGTGCCGGTGTCTGGTTCACCTGGATGCCTTGCAGAACGGCTTCGGAAATCTTGGGAAACTAATTCATACTTGGGATAGGATTAAAAACTTGAGCTTTTATTCCTTATTGGGTTTAAGTACCCATAACAATGCAAAATGTTACCCAACTTTGGCAAAGGAAAGGGGTTGAGAGTTTGGGGTTTAGGATCTGAAAGCCGCGAGCCTTCATGATCTCCGTGACGATTTTTGCCTGCATTTTGGGCTTTAGAGGATCCTTTAAAGTACCCTCAATCCTTGGCCTTAATCCTTAAAGGAACCCTAAATCCGAAAGCCCTAAACCCTTAAGGATCCCTTTTTTTATCGTCCTTCTCCGACTTCAGGTCTGGCTAGGGCGTCTAGACCTGAGTGGGTTTAGGGCTCGGAGGCTTATAGGTTGCCTCCTTCCTAGGACCGAGAACTCCGAATGGCTCCTGAGGGTCTTAAGGTTTGAGGGCTGAAGGGGCTTAAAGGCTTTCTAAAGCCTTAGGGCTTCAAGGGACTTTACACCTCGTCATGAAGGAATGTTCCTGAAACTTGCTGAGATGTCCCCTAAAACTGGAGGTGTTGTCCTGAATTCAAAGCTAATGAAGCTCTTTGGTTTCGGTCTGGGTGGGCCCTAGGCTTCGAAGAGTTCTCACATGCACGCAAGCACAGTCTAAACTGCATGGAACCACGGTGCATCTCTGCTCCCAGTCAGTCACAATGCCCAGCAGTCTCGCAGGGTTTTATGGCTTAGGGTTTTGGACTCTGCAGCATGCAGCGCCAGGAAACATGGAACCGTAAACCCAAACCCCCAAGCCGAAATTTTCAAAACTGTAGTAGACCCTACCAACCGGAGATCCGAAAAAGCGGCGTAAAATGAGAGCTTAGCAAGCCTCGCATCTTAAGCTGAATCCGCGGTATTCGGCTCAAAGCCTTCCGGCCAGGTTCTTTAAAACAAGCGACCTCTGGGGCTCTAAATACATGGTCTGTGTTGAAGACCACGACTTTCCGAAACTTGCATTCGGGGTCGGGAGAATCCCGGTCTAGTATTGAGGCTCTATGCTGAAGTCGCCTGCTTTCTTTTAAACTTCCATTCGGACTCATCCCAAAGCCGAAACCTAATACCTCAGAAACTCTTTAGGGTTTAGGGTTTAGGGTTTAGGGTTGAACCCTTATGCCGCAAGGGCTTCCTGTCAGGGTTTGGCGACTTCGCGGCTCAGGTTGCGCGGCTTTAAACTATACCCCCCTCTTAAAACCATGACAAAAATGTGTTTCTTTTCTATTCTCTCGGGTTTTATATGAACAACAATATACAGTAATTTCTAAGGAGACTCGAGTTTAGATTTGTGAAGTATTATAGGGCTTAGGGTTCAGAGTTTTAGATTTCCCTCAACGGATCAATACAAGTTTCAAGGCCTAGAGTTGAGGTGTTAAGGTTTATTTGGGGTTCAGCGGGTTGTTCAACAAGCCCTAACCTGTAAGCCTTAAGCTACAGCGCCCAAAACCGCGAACAAAAAAAAAACTAAACCGAATACTCTAGAAGCCTAAACCCTTAATCCCAGACCCCGCTTCCACACCTCCTTGGCGGGCTTTTTCTCAGCAGCTTTGGCGTTACTCGGCGCCTCGGAGGAACAGAGCAAAGTGAGCTTAGGAATTGTATCCCAGAGGGTCCACATACCCTACGTTTGTGGAAGGTGCCCAAAACCATAATAGGGATGGTTTAGGCTGCCCGCATACAGGAAGAGTCTATAGTCTATAATAGGGCGACTATTAAGGCCCTAATATAACCATATCATGAACACTATTCAACGATTACTGAGTGGGGGCCGTACCCAAGGGGAGGGTCTTTTGGGACCTGATTTCACAATGGTACTTAAAGGATCATGGGACTTAGTAACTGGAGTTATAATTAGGGTAACTATGCTTATAGCCCCAATTAAGGTACTTATAACCTTACTTACTAAGTCCCATGATCCTCCAAGTAGTGTATATGGACCCTGCGGGTATGGTGTCCATAAGAGCTGCTGTACGGCGGTCTGCAGGGTTTCTTTAAGGATTTAAGCTTTGGGCCTCCGGGGTTAGGGGTTTAGGGTTTAGGGTTTAGGGTTTAGGGTTTAGGGTTTAGGGGAACTTCGAAGAGTCCCAAGACACAAAGGGGTTCTTTAAGAACTTAGGTTCTAGGGGTTTAGGGCCTTTAAGGTTTGGGGATTAGGGGTATAGGACGATTTCGATGATTCCAAAGAAACACCCTCCATCGGCCAAAGCATGCTTTTAGGGCCTTAGTCGTTCGGGTTTGGGGTCTAGGGCCCTGGTAGTTAGAATAAGGCTATGGGGTGGATTCTAGTCATTCTAGTCCTGTGAGACCAAGGCTACATCCTACCTTGAGTCCTACGCCCTAACCCTGAATTCCCCAAACTAAACCCGGTTTCGTAGAACGTCAGACTCCGGACACGACCTAAACCCAAAGCCGTGCTGTATAGACTAAACCCTAACCGCCAAGGCAAAAAACTGAAAACCCCAAACTCAACCGTAAACCCTCAACTAAACTCTAAACTTAAACCCTCAACCCCAAACTCAACACTGAATTCTAAACTAACCCCTCAACTCTAAACAATTACCCCAAGCCCCGAAATTTCAAGCCGTCTCAGTTTGTTTCTTTAGGCCCAGGCCGGGAGGAACTCGAGCATCAGGGGCCGGCCTGAGACTTCGACGCCCTGGGCCTCAGTCGGGAGAGCTCCGTTGATCTAAGGGTTCCTACTACTACTACTACTACTACTACTACTACTACTACTACTACTCCTACTTCTTCTCCTTCTCCTTCTCCTTCACCTTCACCTTCTCCTTCTGCTACTGCTGCTGCGACTGCCGCTGCCACCGCTACTATTAATGCTATAACGACGACGACCAACACTCCGATTGGTATTTCAGTTGCTAATACGGCTGTTGCTCTCTGTACATCATCGCTATCATGGGTCTTACTGCACTTAGACCACAGCCTTGCATCCTTCTATGCGGCCTTGCCTGAACAAACGGCAGTGATTTTCCTCGGTGGTGCCCCAACCCCTAAACCCTGCAATCCACCCCCATAATGTAGGGCCTAAATAATTACCAATACTATTTTAGGGGTTCTTTGTTATAATTACAGTATAGTGAGCCCCAAAAGTCCATTCCAATTATTAAAGCCCCTATAGTATATTCAAATCAAAGCCAAAGCCGAATAATTGTTGGCAAGGTCTCTCACGCTCGAATCTTAGGCCCGCGGCCATCATCATGAGCTGAGCCTTCTCCACCTGCGAGGGGGTTCCCGAAAGCCCCCCCCAAAACCTGGCCGTAAATCACGGGAATGTAGTGAACCTACCGCCTGGGATGGTAACACCAACGTGGGAGTTTCCGAAAATTAGGTGTTCCTTATTTAGGGGTCCTTATATTAAGGATCCATGTCGATGATGATGGGTACGACGTCAAGCTCGATCGCATAGGACGCTGGTAACTGTGCGACAGGCTGCCTAAAATAAACTCAACCTGGACATTCTGACTGTAAGACAAGAGGATCCTTCGCATCTAAAAGCTCAAAATCCCCACCGGCCCTCATCCTCGAGATCATCATCTTCCAGATGCTATGGACATTTGTAGATCGGTTTCTGTTTAATCGTCTTCAATTGCTCGGGAATGCAGTACCACTGCATTGTAAATTTCAGGATGCTGCTAGGGCTTTTTGTGCTAGCGCAGTGGCTCATACGAAGAGGACGATCGCGGCTCCCCTGGGGGGCCTCAGCTGCTAGGTTTCCAGCGGGAAACATGAGGGTTACAAGAGACATGGGGGCCTAAAGATAACAATAATACTTTGAGGTTTCCTTATTAGAAACTTAATAATTCTTTTCCTTAATTTGCCCATCAGGACACCCCGAGATGCCTTCACCCAATATGCTCTGGATGCAATCACCCGGACTCTAGTAGAAACCCAGTTCTTTGGGTCCGTCCCGCGCCTCCTTAAAGAGGAAGAGGGCCACTTGGCCAAATCGGCTTTCGGTTAGGAGGACCTCCATCGGATGCGAAGGACGCTGTTTACCTTAACCCGAAATAACCTACCTTTTTAAGGACTTATAAAAGGAAAGTATAATAAGAAGCCCTGAAAACGTAGGTTATTCAGGGTTAAGGTAGGCTTTCGGAGTGAATGGCTGGGGTTGCTCCCCCGCTGTGGGGCCTTCGGGATTGGGTTGAATGGCTTTATAGTTTTATCCGCAGACTTTGCGATTGAACTTACATCTTACGTACTGCCTCAGACTCTTGGTCGGATAAAGGTCCGCATGTCATGATGCGAGGTTTCGGTATAAGTAAGGAGGAGGATTTCATGGCCTGTCGTCACAGTCAAGGCGAGGACGAGTGCAGCGAGGATTATTCAGGCTTCAGGCTTTGGACTATGGTACTCACTGTAGCCCGCGACATGTGGCCGAGGCTGAACAACAATCAGAAGAGGCTTTGGGGTATGTGTTATCGGACCAAAGGGATGCGACTGGTAGCTATGTGGAACCCATATTACTGACCTGGGCTCTGTTCTTGCTAGTCTCCCCAACAAGAAAACACACATATACACTCACCAAAATGTTTAGGAGGCCCTGTATCGCAAGTCCCGTCAGAAACCCCCGAACCACCAAGCATCGAACCCTGAACCCTAAACATAGCCTGACCTGTAGCTGCACAACAGCCTCAACACCCCCACATCCTGGTACAGGGTTCTTAATGATTGGAATGTGGTTCGGGTGGCATGTGAATCGGAACAATCAAAACAAAGGGAATAGATGGTGCTACTGCTACCAATCTACTCTTACTATGCAGACCTCTAAGGCTGCATTTTGTCGAACCTCCTTGATGCCATCAACTCCCCACTTCGTCAGTGCCTGCACGCGGCGCCGCTTCAGAATTCGGGAGTGCAGATACGGGGACACAAGGGTTCATGCAGGGGTTGTCATACGGACTTCTATATGATATGGCCTGCTGCACCGGTTGCAAAAAGTTGGGTGCAGTTTAAGATAACTTCAAAAGGACAAAGGCGCTTTCTGCAGGTCTAAGATTTAGATTGCAATAACGAATAATATAATAGTTATAAACGTGCACTACTTAAGGGATCACTGTGACGAATTACTAAGACCTGTATTTTGCGCTGTGCCAGGATGAAGACGTTACTTAATTAGAGACTTGAGTTTTAAGGCTTGGGGCTTACATATAAACTTGGCCTGCGTGCGTTTCATGCCAGGCCCAAGGCCACTTCGGGTCAGCGCGTTTGTTTCTGTCTCAATCCAAGCCGGCTGTGCACTGCTCTGGTACAGCTGTGGGAAGAAGCGAAAATCCTGAAGTTCCAACCTACCCTGAACCACAACGGTACCACTGGCAAAGCCTCAGCCCAGGAAGCCCAGACCTCAATATGGGGGCTTTAGCTAGAATGAGAATGTGAGGGGATATTTACAAGGTATTCAGGCCTCCATGCCAACCTACAGATGAAGCTGTTTCAATCCTGGACTCGACAACTCTGCTGGGTGTGGCCGCCTGCGTCAAAGTGGGCACGGTGATGTCCTTGGCCAAGTTACCGGCCTGCGCATGGGCGTCAAACGGCCCTGCATGGGTGATCTGAGATCAACCCGCAAGTTCGGTAGTAATAGTAGTAATTTGGTAGTAATATGATAGTAATATGGTAGTACTATGCTAGTATTAGTAGTTATAATTATAGGGTTTAGGGTCTACCTGCGGCCCCCAGATCGCCTCTAATACAGCCTGAATGCCCGCTACTATCAAGGATCCCGCTAGCCCCTCGTACCACCACTGCCACTTCCACGCCCTCTGCAACTACTACCCCTACCACCACCACTGCCGCGACCCCAGCACAACGACAACTGCCAGTACCACTGCCCCTTATTGCTCAACCACTGCGGCTACCACGACAACTACCACTCTGCCGCTACGGCTCCCACTGCCACGATCAGTACCACTCCCCCTGCTCCTACCACAAGTTTCCGAAAATAGGGGACCCTAATAAAGGACCCTAAATGGTAGGATCCTTATTATAAGGACCCCAAAATAAGGTAACCCTAGTTTTCGGAAACTCCCGTATGGCGCTACTGTAAATGCCACGATCATCGGCCGGCAGTGGACACTTAAAGGATCATGGGACTTAGTAACTAGGGTTATAATTAGGGTAACTATACTTATAACCCCAATTAAGGTACTTATAACCTTACTTACTAAGTTCCATGATCCTCCAAGTAGACCCTAAACCCTAAACCCTCTAGATCCCTTTAAGGAACCCTATAGATCCCTTTTAAGAAGCCCTTTAAGGAACCTTACTTACTAAGTCCCCTGATCCTCCAAGCACGAGTGACCGCCGGACCTTCACCATGGGTCCGGGGGGCCTCTGCCCTCCTGGCCAAACCTTGCAAAATGCGACGGATTAGTATAACTATTAGTATTAATATTAGTGTTAGTAGTACTATTGGTATTAATATTAGTATTAGTATTACTATTAGTATTAATGTTAGTGTTAGTATTACTATTAGTATTAATATTAGTATTTGTAGGATGAGATCGACGATCTCGGAGTGCATGGGGTTTCTACGGGTAGTGCAGTGTCTTAGAGGAGCTTCAGGGTTCTAACAATGTGCATTAAGGTGGTCTTACGAATGGCTTTAACGTTCGGAGAGGCTGCAGGGTTCGGGTAGGAAGCACCAAGTATGAAGTACTCTTCGAATCTGTAAAAAAATTGGGAAGTTTCAAGAGGATTCCCACACGGGCGGGCTTGTAGACGCTTGTAGACGGGTCACGCAAGGTTGTTTGGGCCTGTGCAACTTCGAAGTGCCCCCACTGCTCCAAACATGTACCAACGAGGCATGCAGATCACTGTCACTGTGCCGTCTAATCTTCCTTATTCGATACAAGAAGCATTCAAGCATGCTAAACATTCTGTCGTGCTCCGATTGTTTTATCACTACAAGCGCCCCCTCTCAGTACCTCGGCGGGAACCTTTGGAGACCTTTCGACCTGCCTTCAAGCCTTGTACTTCCGAGGTTCTGAATACTTGGAGGATCATGGGACTGAGTACGGTAGGGAACTAGAACCATTCGTTTTGCGGCTATTTGCAATCATAGCTATGGTCATCTTATTGAGAAACGACGTCCCATGATCTGATCTCGGTAACATAAGGCCCGTAATAATTCGAACAGGGTTGTGGGGCTCGCTATACTCTAATTAGAATAAGGACCCCCAAAAAATAGTATTGGTAATGATTTGGGCCCGTATACTAAACCCTTATAATAGCCCTTATAGTAGCCCTTATAATGACCCCTTTAAAGGAACCCGAAATTCAGTTATTTAGGCTCTTAGAGCAGGAACCCCAGATTTTGCAAACCCTAAAGCCTAAACCCAAAACCCTAAACCCAAAACCCCAAAACCCTGAACCCCTCGGCTCCCACGAGCTTCTGAGGCCCTAGCGATTCCCGTGGCCTCGGGTCTTCGGTTGGCGGCTTTTTTTGTTGGGGCATCTGAGACCCTAAACTTTAGCCCTACACCCTAAACCCAGCTTTGGGGGGGGGGGGTAGTAGGGTTTCAGGGTTTTTTTATCAGTTCGGATCTATCTCATCATACTTGGTTAAGGCTTCAGGCTTTTCAGGTTCAGGCTTGGGGGTTTCGGGATTAAGGGTGTTCTAGGTACTGCGACCCAGCTCGCTTGACGGAGGCACTAGGCCACGCAAGCATCCCGTGCCCGGGGTCGCAATGAAAGGGGCTTAGGGTTTCAAGTTTAGGGCTTCAGGTTTGGGGTTTAGGAACACTGAGGCACTGTGAGTAGGCCTCCGTGCATTCCCTAAACCCTAAGCCGCACATCCTTTCGACAAAACCCTCTGAACCTGAAGCCCTTCAGCTCCTAACCGAAAGTTCCCACATCCTCGTCCCCTTGAAGGATCATGGGACTTCGCAAGGGAGGGGTTTTTAAGTACCTTAACTTGGGATACTGCATGTGTATCCCTACTTTGAATCCGGTATAGAGGCCCTACTGATCAAAATAAGGTTGATTTCGAGGCTTTAACAATCGAAGCAGGGTTAATATAGAGGCCTTTACTATTTTCATTGAGTCTAAGTTTAGGTTTACTTCCGCGAGGTTTAGATCCGGCTCGTTCTTATATAAGCTTAAAGCCAAAAAAATGAAGAAAAACATAGAGACAAATAAAGCCAAATGAAGCCAAATTGAGACAAACTCTCCAATATTCATAGTCTTAAGAGGATCTTTAAATACAACGATATTCACATTCCCTGAACCCAACGCTTGGCTCATGGCGGGATCCATTCCCGGCAATGGGCGTGGAGGCATCGCCGGCCGCGCCTTAGCGGTGTGATCGAAACCGACTGTGGCGAGGGTAAAGGACCGTGCATCGGTTTCAAGTGCTCTTCAACTATATAAAAAATGAATATGGACAGCTCGACCCCTCAACCGTAGCGATGTCAACCCGAACTAATAACTCCCTTCCAACTCCATTCCCTTGACAAGGAGTACAGCAGGAATCCTACTGCCACCTGAGGGCTTCATCATCATCTGTCGGGGACATAAACACCAAGCATGCGGGGTGTGCAGGAAAGCAACACCACCTTCCACTCCGCGACACAGAGCCGCGAACACCCTGAAAACTTATCCCTGGGCCCAGACCCGAACTCGAGGTGAACCCCAGAACTGTGAAGCCCTGAACCTTAAACCCCTAAAACCCTAAACCCTAAACCTTAAACCTTGAACCCTAAACTCTAAACCCTAAACCCTCAACCCTAAACCCTAAACTCTAAACCCTAAAACCTACAGTGCAAGACAGAACAGATCTCCTTAAACCGCCGAAGTCGGCTCTAACTAAGAGACCCCAGCCAATCCTGAACGCCAAAACCCCTCACCGAATGTCTATAGGGGCCTGGAAAATTTCTATACTGTCAAACTGTGGATAGTAATATCTCTCACGATACTTATACAACTATGCCATAGTATGCCCAGAAGTTCAAAAGTACGGCCGCCACCCGCCCTCAGAGGCCAGAATGCCTCTGTCAAAGGAACCATACATCTAATGCCTTCAACACTAAACCCCTGTGATACCGAAACGAGATCGACCTTGATACTCGGCATTATAAGCTCGACTACTGAGAAACTCAACCCTAAACGCTACCCTAGAGATACATTTCTGGGGCGTGCGGCATGACCGCCGTAGCCAGCTTGGTACCTCAAAGGGGCGATAAGAATTGGACTAGGGCTTGGGGGCCTTAGTGTAGTATAACTCTGGTAAGGAGCTGAAAGGACACATGTTAGCAATAGGCCCCTAGACCAACATAGGGCCATGACATAGGGACCTGTCAAAGTTTGCACTAATGTTTGGGAATGTAGTGTAGTTGCGCAGGAACTACGAAGGTATATTCGCACAAGGCTGTATTTTCTGGTCAGCTTCGGCTGCGGAGGTTGGAATAATCTGGTTGTAGGCTCAGGGTAGAAGTTGGTACCATTCAAACCGGTGTCATGGCCATATACCAGGACCCTCCTTGTACCCTCAAACAGGGGTATATGGTCCCAAATAAGAGGCATTTAGGGTCTAATAGAGGGTAGATGGAGGGTCTAGGTATGAGCCGCTTTTTGGGGCTGTGGGCCTCCATACCAAGCAGCTGGCTGCACGGACTGCTCGATTGCGTCCCCGAGGCTTCATGACCCTAAAACCCACCCTAAACCCTAAACCCCAACACCCAAGGCACTATTCCTGGTGTTGTGCCGGGCCGGCCGGGTCTTTCAAAACTGGGAGTACCTGCTCCTAGGGATCCTTGAAGTAAGCATCCAACTAGTGATCTAAAATATAAGGCCCTGTTTTCTGAAATTCCCATTCATGACGGCTCCGCTTCTGTTGATACGACAAATTGAAATGAATCTTCTTGTGAGTCAGATGCCTCGGATCTGCATGACAGTCTTCATCCGGATGGTACGTTAAGTTTTAAACCCAAAATACGGGAACGTTATCATCGTAGCGTCAGCACAAACTTACACGTCATTGCTTCGGGTTGGGCTGCGGGTTTAAGACTGCTGTTCTACATTTCATGGGACACATTTCTTGCCGACAGCAAAGCACCAAGTGCCCGGCGCGGGAGCTGCATACCCAGCTTGCCCGTAGCCTTGGCTGTAGCCCTGGCCGTAGCCTTGGCTGCTGCCCTGGCTGTAACCTTGGCCCTGGCTGTAGCCTTGGCCCTGGCTGTAGCCTTGGTTGCCTTGGGAATATCCAGGAGGGCCAACCTGGTTGTAGCTTTGGCCTTGGCTGTAGCCCTGGCCGTAACCCGGGCCATATCCGGCTCCGTAGGCACCGTACATGGCGGGACATGAAGCGCGTTGAACAAGTCTAGGCACTCGAGTTTCGTATCTGATGAGTTTAGTGCATGGACGAAGTGCGGTTGAACCGGCGCCATGGCTTTAGCTTGAGAGTTACGGTACGCCTCACGAAATGATGTCCGGGCAAGGATCAGATTTGGCATGCATTGGCCAAGGCGAAAGAGCTGCTGTCTTGACTCTGTTCTTAGAAAAATCATGGCAACGACAACTGGGCTGCAAAACAGAACAGAAGCAACAAGCAGTAATTTTTGAACTAGCACCACCATAAGAATCTAATGGTAAATAGGCGATCTGAAACATGTTGTTTGCATGCAAGCAGCTGGGTCTGCGGCCAAGAGGAAAGACAAGCATGGGTCCCATGGGCTCTACAATTTCAATCCTTGCCACCTTGCGAATCCTAAACCGCACACGCTACCCCTAAACCCTGCGCGACCGGGGCATCCCAAACCTTGCAATCATGACCTACCACTACTACTACTACTGCTACTACTACTACTACTTCTACTCCTGCTACTACTACTACTACTACTACTACTACTACTACCACTACTACTGATCCTACTACTGCTCCTGCTACTGCACCCAGCACCACAACGACGACTTCTAGTACTCCTTCCGCGAGTACGCGTACAGTTAGGCTACGGCAACGGCTACCACTGCGACTTCGACCGCGACTGCGACTGCGGCTACGACTGAAACAACAACAACTACTACTACTACTACTACTACTACTACTACGACTACGACTACGACTACAACAACAACAACAACTACTACTATACTACTACATCTACTCCTACTCCTGCTGCTGCTGCTGCTACTGCTACTGCTACTGCTACTGCTACTGCTACTGATACTGCTACTGCTACTACTACTACTACTACTACTACTACTTCTTCTACTTCTTCTTCTACTTCTACTTCTACTTTTACTTCTACTTCTACTTCTCCTTCTCCTTCTCCTTCTACTTCTACTTCTACTTCTACTTCTACTTCTACTTCTACTACTACTACTACTACCACTCCCACCACGACGACGACTGCTACTACTTCTACTTCCACTCCTACTCCTACTCCTGCTCCTACTCCTACTCCTACTCCAACTCCTAGTCCAAGTCCAAGTCCGAATCCTAGTCCTACTCCTACTCCTACCCCCACCCCTACGCCTAGCCCTACCCCGACCCTTACACCCAGCCCTGCTCCTGCTCCTGCTGCTCCTGCTGTTCCTGCTGCTGTTTCTGCTGCTCCTCCTGCTGCTCCTCCTGCTGCTCCTCCTGCAGCTCCTCCTGCTCCTCCTCCTCCTGCTGCTCCTCCTCCTGCTGCTCCTCCTCCTGCTGCTCCTCCTCCTGCTGCTCCTCCTCCTCCTCCTCCTGCTCCTCCTCCTCCTGCTCCTCCTCCTCCTCCTCCTGCTCCTCCTCCTCCTCCTGCTCCTCCTCCTCCTGCTCCTCCTCCTCCTCCTGCTCCTCCTCCTGCTCCTCCTCCTGCTCTTCCTCCTCCTCCTCCTGCTCCTCCTCCTGCTCCTCCTGCTCCTGCTCCTCCTACTCCTGCTCCTCCTGCTCCTCCTGCTCCTCCTGCTCCTCCTGCTCCTCCTGCTCCTCCTGCTCCTCCTGCTCCTCCTGCTCCTCCTGCTCCTCCTGCTCCTGCTACTGCTACTGCTACCGCTACCGCTACCGCTACCGCTACTGCTACTTCGACTGCTACTGCTGCTGCTGCGACTGTGAACTGGGCTGCTTTAGACCTGACCCCGTGAGCCCGAACTTTTGGCAGCTCGAGCACGCCCACCAATTCAACACGACTGTAAGTAAACCAGGATTCGGAATGGTTTGTCTGAATCCTAAACGGATCAATGAAGACCTCGGACTGGGAGGCGCATGCCCATGCTCAGAGAAATCGCGGCGAAGATGTGCCTCGGCGTAGCCTCCGCAAACAGGATTTGGCCAAAATCTGCCTGGGTGTCTTCATCTCTTTCTAACTCGTTTTGTCTCGGCCCTTCTTTTTCGTCTTACTCTTATGATTTTGCTCTCTGCTGCTATCTTTCTGTTTGTGTTGCGCACTTATACCCACAATGAAGCTTAGCTTCATGCCCTCTTCCTTAACTCTGTCTCAACGGCCGGTAGGCCACTATTCAATCCAGAAGCAGCGTTCTGCGACAACGAAATGGAACCATGCTTCCATAGAAACCCATAAATGCTGTTTGCCCCCCTCACTCTCAGAACGCGGTTTGGCGCAGCTGAACATAGCCCTTATCACACGTCTTGGCCGAAAAACCAACAACCTTCTCTCGCGTGCAGGGGTTCAAGCATGCAGTGGCGAAGTATCCGGCCCAACTTCCTTAAAGATTGGCATTTTGTGAATTGGGGCAGCATGAGATGGCGGTAGTGATAAAATTTGAGAAAACATGGTGTGCAGACTGAGTTGCCCGTCGTCCTGTGAAGCTGCAAGACTGTTGTGCTGAAGCTCAGCAGCTCGAAAAGATTGTCGCCAACTTGCGCACTACAGCCCTCCTAACGAAACGGCACACCCATGTGTCATCAATTCATTGACCAGTGGGAGACCCAAGTGAAAGATTCGAACAATGTTGCTGCGACTGCCATCTGCCGGCATGGAAGTTTGGAAATACCGACGCCTCTTGCAGTCCTGAGTTTCGGTGGGGTCAAATTGCGTCGTCGCCATGCATGATCGTGGCGAAATGAATGTCCTGTTTTCTTGCATCGTCCGGAAGGAACCGCCTCTAGCAGCTTCCTGTCGGGCCTTCCCTTTCAAGATCTGCGTCCTGTCCTGAAGAAGGCCACAAGGCCGAAGCTGAAGACCCAAGCCCTACTATAGGGGCCCAAACAACTTCCTATACTTTCTCGGGGACTTCCTGATTATGATTCTAGTGTAATGGGCGCCAGAACCCTATTCTTCTAATTACTCGTTATCCTATATTACCTCGCGGAACCGAACTGTCTAATATGGCTCGAAGCCCAATTCGCATAGAGCCTTCGAGACTTCCTAAACCCTAACCGCGTGGGTCTCAGGTCCAAAGCTCAGCATCCCCAGGAGCAAGGTGGTCAGGTTTAGGGGTTTAGGGTCTACTTGGACCCCAAATAACCCATCTTTTTAGGTTCCTTAATAGCGTGGCTAGGTGTGGTTCCTCAGAGCTTTGTAAACCCCGAAACCCAAAACCCCACCTGTCCAAACTCTTGGCCCTGGCTCAGTGTTGAGAATCTCAAATCCCCAACCCCAAACCCGGAACGCACTAAACACCCCATCTAAGCCCCTCGACCCCAATCCCGAAAGTCCTAAAACCCCTCGCGCCGAACCTCCAGACTCCGAATCCCGAAACCTAGAAGCCCCCAGGCCAAAGGGCCCTATGTACCGATATAGTAGAATGTAGGGTTTCCATATTAGGAATTATTATTACGACTTAGGGAAGTATCCCCCATAACAGTACAAAGGACCCTTTGGGAGATCAAAAACTCCTTTGCAGCTCTGAGCCGTGCGCTTCTCCCACAAGTCAAACGCGCGCATCGTGCCGGTTAAGGGCCATGGGAGGGCCTGACCGCCAATGGTTTAGGGCTTGGGTTGTACGGTGCGAGGTCTAGGGATTATACGTGTATAAGGTTTTTAGCCAAGTGGAGGGTTTGAGGCTTAGGGTTAGGGTTTGGGGCTTCGGGTTTAGGGTTAGGGTTTGGGGTTTCGGGTTTTAGGGCTTAAGATGTCCGGCTACTGTCTGGCGTGAAAGCAGTGGAGCAGCTGGTCTTTCTTCTCACGGCACGCCGGCACAGCTTGTCAGGCTTTCCGAATGTGGATTTGTTTCTGCTGGTTGCCTACTGCTTCGATGGCAAGAGTATTCGATAGAAATCTATACTCCTACAGCCCAAACAGTAGACCCTCAACCCCAATCAAGCGCGTTTCAGGTCGCGGAGGCTCACTGCGACCAAACTCCGGCCCACAGTCTGAGCGAGAACGAGGCGTCGCAAGGCCGTGCCCCTCCAAGCGTGGATCAAGTCCTTGCGGTTGCAGCGTTTTGCGGTTTAGGATTGTGCTTCGAGGGCTTAGGGTTAGGGCCTTCTCTTCGAGGGTTCAGGCTTTATATCTGCAAAACCCAAAACCCTAAACCCCGGATAACCCTGACGAGCGAGGCCCTAAAACCCTGCAACCCTTCCCGCGTCCTCACTGTCCCTCCAGTTTGGGCTGGTGTCGGAGCGGCCAATGGAATCCACCATGAGCGTGACACCCGGACAGTGCTCCTAGGGAGGGGCCTTATGATGCAGGGTTTAGAGATCATAGGATTTGTGTTGGGCTTTCAGGGTCTTATATACTTCGCAGCTTATAAGTATGTGGGTTGTGTGGGTTTTCTGCTAGTGATTTCAATCAAGCCTTGTGTATTGCTTTATAGGCTTCAGCGGAGTGGTATCAAAGTTTATATCAACAACGGAGACTGTTTTTTGAGAACATTGGTGAATTGCTGCAACGCTGCCACATCCCCCCATACCTTCCTCCGGCATCGCATGACAGGATCCACCCGTACGCCCCTGTAGGTGAATTCCGGTTTGGAGGCCCTTTTTCTGCGCGAGGCGGGTGGTTTTGGCTCCATACTCCATCCTTTGTTGATGTGGTTCTTATTTGGAGGTCGGCTTGGGGTGAAGCAGTCCCCAGGGGCCTAAATAAATACGTATACTACTTTGGGGGTTCCGTATTATAACTATATTTAGTATGATATACCCCCAAACCGTATTCTAATTCTTAAGGCCCCTATAGTAGGCCTAACGATCCATGGTTGAGGGACGACGGCATAAAGCTCGGATCCGCTCTGAACCCAGAATCTTGTACGAAGTAACTCTTACTGAAACTACGAATATTACTATAAGGGTTCCTTTCAAGGGATCTATAGGGGTTTAGGGTTTAGGGAGGGTTTAGGCCCTAAACCCTAAACTTTAGGGTTTAGGGTTTAGGGTTTATTACTATTAAGGCCTCAAATGGGTAGTTGTCAAAATTATGGTCCCTTTTTGGGTGCCCTAATTAAATATTCGGTGCCGTATCATACTCAGGACCCTTGAAAAGGGACCATAATTTTGAGAACTACCCATATCCCCATGAGGATATACCAGAATGCAAACGGTGCCGCGTCGCCGCATCAGTGAACCGTGAACCCCCCTTCATGGTATTGCAAGGCTCCCACCCCCGGCCGCCCATGGTATGGTCTAAGCGCGGAATCTGTCACGAGTGTTACCGATTTCTGGCCTCGACCTTGCTATGCCGCCTCAAAAATGCAGACGCAGACAGCCACAGGGACTTGGCGGATTGGGCTTGGCAGCACGGCTGCCTCTTCCGGATCTTGGTATTATTGCGACGTGTCAGCGGCGGCAACAGCGACCGGGGCCCAGTATTGGTGGTCCAGTTTTCTGATTCTCGTGACTGCTAAAACATTTACATAGGTGCACGCTGGCAATCCGGTGTTGCGGGTATACGGGTAGACCGTGGGCGGCGACAACCTAGCTTTCTGCGCGGTCTCAAAACTAAGTCATGCACAAAGAACCAGCTTTAGCCCGTGAAACGTGCACACACAGACAGACGAAACAAGAAAGCTTAAATCCTAAACCCGCAACGTCCGAAACCCTAAACTCACAAAATCACAAAAGCCCGACACTCGAAAGATTTCGAAAGCTAAAGCCCAAGCTCCACTCCTTAGCCCCAAGCCTAAAACCCTTAGGGAACCCTTATAGAACGCCACAAGACCCTATAGAGCAAGGCAAAAACCCCAAAACTGCCCCAAGCCCCTTGGGCCCGATGTGCCTCGAAGTTGGCAACCTCCTTCTCGCTGAAGCCGTTCGGGTCCTTGGTCACCTGCCAGGGTTACCCCATGGTTTCTGTAAGCGTAGTGCTATGACATGGAGTTTGTGCGAAGGTATCTTGCTCTAGACAGCTTCTACGAGGCTTGTCTTACGCCTTTCTGCAAGGGCTCTATGTGGCTGTTGCAACGAAAGAAGTCTATATGGGCTTTATGATGGCATGAGCGTTTGTTAAAAGGGTGAGAGGCCTGGGTTTTCAGTTTCAGGCAGAACCTGTCATCTACAAAATGGCAGGTTATGATGTCCAAGTTGTACGGTATGACACTTAAACAGCAGGTTATGCACTCCCTGATGATAGGGCGAGGGTAGGACTCTTACGAAGCTGGCCATGCTTCCCTTAAACTTTGAGCATAAAGCAAAACGCCTCATCAAACTACCCTCAGGCCCCAAAAGTAGTTCCCTTTTGGGATTACCTGATGATATTCTATATATGGGAGTTTCCGAAAATGGGGGGGTACCTTATTCTGGGGTCCTTATAATAAGGATCCTACTATTTGGGGTACTATATTAGGGTCCCCCATTTTCGGAAACTCCCATATGAACCCCAGAAAGGAACTACTATGTAAACCCTAAACCCTAAACCTTAAACCCCTAAACCCTAAACCCTAAACCCTAAACCCTATGGGTAGAGGTTATGGGGAAGCACCGGATCCGAGATCCCAAATCCCTGGAGGTTTCGTTTCCATCATGGGACTTAGTAAGTAAGGTTTAGGGATCCTGAAAAAGGATCCTTAAAGGGTTCCTTAAAGGGATCTAGAGGGTTAAGGGTTTAGGGTCTACTTGGAGGATCATGGGACTTAGTAAGTAAGGTTTAGGAGTCCTTAAAAAGGATCCTTAAAGGGTTCCTTAACGGGATCTAGAGGGTTTAGGGTTTAGGGTCTACTTGGAGGATCATGGGACTTAGTATCTAAGGTTATAAGTACCTTAATTGGGGTTATAAGTATAGTTTCCTGAAATATAACCCTAGTAACTAAGTCCCATGATCCTTCAAGCATGAAGACTCTCATGGACCCCAAGCCCCACCGCTCTCCTCCCCTGAGCCCTGAATCCCGAAGCCCTCGCAAGAGCCCTAAACCCTACTGTAGGGGACTTGACAATTAGAATAGGGTCTTGGGCTATATCGTGCTCTAGTTATAATAAGGAACCCCCAAAATAGTATAGTATCGTATAGTATAGGTAATTATTTTGGGTTTTGGTGTTGAAAAAAGGAGCCCCCAGAATCGTATAGGTAATTATTCGGGTTTTGGTTAAAACAGGAACCCCCACAATAGTATAGGTAATTTGGGTTTTGGCTAAAAAGGAACCCCCAAAATAGTATAGGTTATTCTTCACCCCCCGCCAGCTTGTGTACGCCGAAGATGCCCTGCGCCGCAGACTCAGCACTCTGCCCTGGCAGCTTCTCCTGCAAATGGGTAAGGTTTATAGTTTATAGGGTGTCGGGTTTACGGTTGGTTTAGTTTTTTTAAAACTCCTTTATACATCTGCCCGATCCTCCCAAGCTGACATCGGTCTAGGGTTTAGAGTTTAGGGTTTAGGGAGTGTCGGTTTTTCTGAAGGCCTTTGTGTTGTCTGCACCCAAAGGTTTAGGGCTTAGGATTTGATCTCAAGAAGAGGCAGTCGAGCCGGGGTGTTGAGAAAGCGAGCACCGAGCACCAAAACGACCCTGAACCTGAATAAAAACCAAACCCCAACTATGATCCTTATATAAATAAACTCGAAGACTTGAGAAACCCCTAAACCCGAAACCCCAAGCCCTTCAAGCAGAAACCGCTTCCACCAGAGTCCCGGTGCCACACTATCCTAACCTCCCAAACCCTAGCCTTTTTGTAGGTTCTTCTTATTATAAACCCGAATATGGAAACGAGAGGGGCCCCTACCAAAAAAGTAGGTTTTGGTAGGTTCCGGTGTAACTATATACTGAACTTAGAACCCTAGCCAAAATGATAATGTTAGCTGTTTCTTAGGGATTGTAATAACCAAAATTTTAAAATTTATTTCAAAGTACCCCTAAGGTTATAGTATTATAGTAGCCTTTATAGAACCCTAACAGAACCGTTATAACAGCGACAAGTACCCCTAAGGTAAATCCTGGCTCCTCGGTGGCGAACCTCCGGGCCTCCACAGTTGGAGGCATCCTCAGGGTCCCGGCGTGGCTGCAGAAAAACACGTCCTCTGGAGAGGTTTTTAAGTTTTCCATGAGGGTTTTTCTTTTTTTTTTTTTGAGGGCCTTTTTGAGTCTGCATGACAGAGTCTGACAGCGTTCTCAGCCCATATTGGGCAGGCAGAAAAGAAAACCCTTGGCAATCTCCGCAATGTGGCATAGGATCGTCACCCCTTTCGACTCTACACTCAGGCCACAGAAGCCCTTGTCCGTCACAACCTCAGACCCTGCTCATCAGCTCGAGCTCATAGTCCCTTGCCTCTCTCGTAGTTGCCGACAGCTCACTCTCCATGGTGTCCTCGACCTCGCCATTGGCTCCCCAAGCCCCTGAACTTGCCGAACTCCCCGAGGCAGGACTCACTTCTCCACGGCCATTTTCTGCAGACCCCTGGCTCGGCGCTCCTGGACTCAACGATGCTCCCACCGCCCCCTCATCTTCTTCAGACCCTGTTGCAGGGCCATCGCCCTCCTCGGACAAAGCCCCAGAAAGCCGTCCAGATCCGCATCCACCTGGTGGCTCCAGGTCGCAGTCGCGCTGAACTCGATCCGCTTGAGTATCACTCCCTTGGGCTCGTCGCGCTCGAAGACAAGGACGGCGCTGCGGAGTGCGACTACGGGAGAGACGACGCCGTTCAACTTCCTCAGAAAACAACCTCCCTGGAGTACTCATTGACTGCGGCACAGAAAAGCCCAAACCCTGCAGGTGCTGCTCCGAACGCCAGTTGCACATAGCCTCAGGCATAACCCGCCAGTACCATGCGGCTCTCACCCGTCTCACCGCCGACCGAGCAAACTCCATAACCCAAGTCGGCGAGGGGATCTGGTCCCATCTTGGGTGGACAGCCTCCGGTTCCTGCCACACCGCCTGCAGGAGGCCATTGAGGACACCAATGTTCTCCCTCTCGAAGCGGCCATCCTCGTACAGGTAGAAGACGCGAAGCATCTCACGTGAGAGGGCTCTCCAGTCACAGCCCCTGGCTTTAAGCGACACCGCCTGCTCCACCAGGGCACTGTACCAGGCAGGCACTTCTCCAGGGTAGAAGGGCTCATCAAAGCTCTTGACCGAGGGCCAGGTCAAAGTCCCCAACACCATATACTGGACCCACAGCCCTGATTCATCCCCGTCGTTTTCCGAGTGCTCCGTGGCACCCGTCTCGAAGGAGTCCACAATGTCCAGCTGGGTGACGACGTTGGGTTCCGAGGCAGCGATCCCTGGGAATGTGGTGCCCCTTGCGCTCGCATACTCATCTTCCTCCTGTGACTCCACCATGCGCTGGGCCTGCATAAGGTCGAGGGTGGATTCTCCCCAGACCGCCAAGACGTAGGCATCCGAGATTTCCCCTGCTGCCCACCTGCGGTATTGGGTCTCGTATGTGTGGAAGTCGAGCTCTCGCGGCACTCCTCCCTCGTCCTTGTGCCTGCAGTCTCCATCCTCGCCAAAGGTTCATCATGACGGGCAACCATTTCCGTAGAGGCCGCTGAGCCGGCAGACTCGGGGCCTCGGGCATCGTCATCCTCGTAGGTCACAACGACTTTGGTCACCTGGAGCCCCACATCAGAGGCCGGGATGGGCACACGGAGTGTGCGCTCCACACCAGGCGATCCCTCGTGAGGTGCAAGGGTAACTTCCAGGAAACGCCGCTTTCGCGACTGGCCCCCATCGTTGAGTGCTCGGAACATGGTCCAGTCTTCCCAAGCCTGGTATTCCGCTGCTTCCTGAGCTCGTACATGAGCCGCGACCATGGCCCGGGTCTCGGCTTCCTCCCTGGCCTCATTCTCCGCAGCCTCCGCCTGGAGCACATCACGTTCCCGATGCACTTCTCGTTCATCTTCCGCAAGGACTTCGCACTCCTCACGCCCTTGACTGTCCACAAGGAAGATCCCTTCGTGAAGGATGTGGCTCTGATATCCCGGTGCTCTCAGGGCAATGCGGATACGTTGCCACCATTGTTCAACCCACCCGTCGAGGTCATTGTCCTGGCTCTGCAAGTCCAGCCCTTCCACCTCGTCCCTGCTGGCTACAATGAGTGCATCCAGCTCGTCCAGTAACGGTGGGTTGCCATGCAGCAGCCGGAAGCCCCGAACCCTCATCTCCAGCCCAGACAGTCTCCCCAGTACATCTTGCCCAGCAAGCCGGACATGCGCCAGTGCAATTTGCATCTCGGTCAGGACCCTGTCAGGTGTGATGTGGGCGACCCCTTGCTCCATTTTCGCCAGGGAAGTTTGCATCAAGCTCGTACCATCAGGGGATCTTTCAACTTCCACACTGACCTCATCCGATGAAGCATAAGCGAGGACCTGACTGAGCTCCTGCATAAGCCGTCGCAGGAGGTCAACCACGGCGATGGTCATGATGGCCGTGTCATGCCGGTCATACTCCCGCAGATTATCAACCATGTTGTCCGACAAGTCGCGAGGCAGCACTCGTCCGCCACGACGCACCGCATCGTCAATATCCCCTGTGCCACGTGGGTTGGAAACTCCCAGGAAGTGTCTCCAGATGTCGACACCCTCAGCCACTGTCAAAGGATGAGGGTTTAGGGTTTAGGGTTTAGGGTCCTCTGGAGGGTTTTGAAGTTTTCCATGAGGGTTTCTACAGTAGAGGGTACCATAATATGTAGGAATGTACTGTAAGGGGTTGAGGGTTTGTTAAGTTTTCGATGAGGGTTTAGGGTTTAGGGTCCTCTGGAGGGTTTTGTAAGTTGTCCATGAGGGTTTAGGGTTTAGGGTCCTCTGGAGGGTTTGGTTTTTAAGTTTTCGATGAGGGTTTATTTCTACAGTAGAGGGAAGTATAATATGTAGTAACAATGGTACTATAAGGGTTTAAGGTTTCGCTACAGTACTATCATGAGTAGTTCTTGATGGTACTGTAAGGTGTTTGGGGTTGCTGAGTTTAAGGTTTTTCAGCATCGAGTTTAAGGCTTGTAGTCACTACTCCAAAATTTACAGGGTTGCTGCAATGAAGCCTTGTTAGGGTATCTTGGTGTAAGGGCTCCCTCATAATAGGAACCCTAAACCCTATAAGCCTTAAACTCCGAATAACACCTAAACCCCTAAACCCCTATAGATCCCTTATAGTACCCTCATGGATCCCTTTCAAGGAACCCTTCTCTTCTAATAACCCTCGGGTAGTTGTCAAAATTAGGGTCCCTTTTTGGCTCCTTATTATAATACGGCACCTAATATTTAAGGTACCCAAAAAGGGACCATAATTTTGACAACCACCCATTTGAGGCCTTAATAGTAAAAAAAACCTAAACCCTAAACCCTAAACCACCCCTTATAACCGCCGACCCAACAAACGACCCTCGGCGTGGGCGTTCGGAGCTCCTCGGGCTCCACCAGCTCCTCCAGATTCTTCTCCATCCTTTTGGGGGGCTTAGGATCTATATAAGGGTTCCTCTAAAGGGATCTACATAAGGGTGGGGCTTAAGGTTTAGGGGTTTGGGGGCTTAGGGTTTAGGGTTCTTCTCCATCCTTTTTGGGGTTTTATAGTTCCTTTCAAAGCATCTATATAAGGGTTCCTTTAAAGGGATCTATAAGGGTACTTATGCGGCGATTTTAGGGCTCAGGGTTTAGTTGTAGTGGGTGTAAGGGGTTTGGTGTTTTGGGGTAGGTTCTTCTCCATCCTATTTGAAGCCGTTTGAGGCTTAGGGTTTGGTGGTTTAGGGCTTGGGGATTAAGGTTCGGGCTTAGGAGGTTAGGGTTTGGGGTGTAGGGGTTTGGGGGTTAGGGGTATAGGGGGTTTGGGGATTGGGGATTTGGGGTTTGAGGTTTGGGGGTTTAGGGGGTTGGGGTAGGTTTTTCTCCATTCTTTTTGGGCGTTTAGGGTCTTGGGCTTCCGGCTTCGGGCTTGGGGAGAATGAGTATGGAACGTCTCACACTCCAGATTCTACTTTAAACTACCAAACACTACTTTTATGCAGGTTCTTATTATAGACCCCAATATGGAATTTATGGGGACCCTACCAAAAATAGGTTTTGGTAGGTTAAGGTAGGGTTTAGGACTTAAGCAGAGGGTTGAGGGGCGGGGCTTAGGAAGTCTGGGGCTTCGCATGTCGAGGCAATATGGGAGTTTCCAAAAATTAGGGTACCTTAACTTGGAGTCATAATAAGGATCCTATTATTTAGGGTACTATATTAGAATCCCCTATTTTCGGAAACCCCAATATGCCCTTCCCACGGCATGCGAAGCATCTATGCAAGGCCGGGAAATGCCCTGCGTCTTTGATGCATCTCTTGCTGCATGTGGCCGAAAACGGCTCAAACTCCAAGTAGTTCAAACCAAAACTTACGAAAGACTGCAGCGACTCAGCGGGAAGCAAGGGAATCCGACATCCGAGAGCCCTTACAAGCCCCAAGCCCAACCCAGTGGACCCGGGAAGACGAGACTCCAAAGTCATGAAGCAGCCCTGGACGGCCAGGATAATTAGACCAGGGTTTGAGAGGGCCATACAGTACACAGTTGGGAGTTTCCGAAAATAGGGGACCCTAATATAGTACCCTAAATTAGTAGGATCCTTATTATAGGGGACCCCAAACTAAGGTACCCCAAATTTTCGGAAACTCCCATATCGGGGACCGCAGTGATACATAGTGACATCATGCTCAACATACTTTAACTTGTTCCGGCTCCTACAAGTACAGTATGCAACCCTCAAAACCCTAGGGGCATAGCAAAAGGTTCCATGTTCAAACATTTTCGGGCCGTGATGGAGGAAGGGACCACAATAATACGATTGGAGAGGGTCCCATTTTCTGCAACTGGAGTTGGCCTCAATGGATTTTGGATAGGTTGTCAGCAATTACAGAAAGAAGCTTTCGTGGTATTTGCAAAAGAGATTCCGCACAGTGCTACTACTTTGCTACTGTCAAACAGAGCCTGAATCATCAAACGCTGATTATCTGTTTGCGCGGCGCCCGTGATCCTTATCGTGGAGGGACACCAGTACACGACCCCTGATTCAAAAAAAAGACCCTACAAAGCCCTTATTATACCACCAAGTGGGAACCCCGGTGCCTGGCCACCCTCAGCATGGCCTCCTTGTCCCGCAAGGAGAGGCCACCGTTGCCGCCCGCCTCTTTTGCTCTTGGCTTCATACCCTAAACCCTAAAACCCCTCAACCCCTAAACCTCTGAAGCCCCCAAACCTCTGAAGCCCCCAAACCCCTAAACCCCTTAACTCTAAACCCTTCCACCCCTAAACCCCTAAACCCTAACTTTATCTTTTCAACCGAAATGCGAATCCCCACAGGCCTCGCCGCAGGCTGGTACCAAATGGCCCCAAGGAGATCCGACGTAATCCTGGATCTACTTAAAGGATCATGGGACTTAGTAACTGGGGTTATTGATTGGGGTAACTATACTTATAACCCAATTAAGGTACTTATAACCTTACTTACTAAGTCCCATGATCCTCCCAAGTAGAACTTAGGGGTTCAGGGTTGGGTTTAGTTTAGGGTTCACGGTATGCGAATTAGGGCATTTAGGTTCGAGTTCTGGACACTTACAGGGATGCTATGACGAACCAGAAGCAAGAACACCTTAAACCCTCAAACCTCGAAACCCTTGTTATGGAACCCTAAAGGAAACCCTCAGCGGCACCTTCTACAGTACCCTCAGGGTAGGAAAACGGAAAAAGGTAAATTTATTACTGCAGAACCCAGAATCGTAGCCCAGGAAGGGCTTGATGCTTGCGCGCGCTGAATTGCAAAGCCAGGAGTCCGCCTGCACCTTCTGCTTTCAATTCTCTTACAGGGTCTCGCAGGATTTACGGTGTGTAAGGTTTTGTTAGAAGGTTTGCTTTATGGTTCATAAGGCCGCAGGGCTGAGGATTTAATGCACGGAGTCTGGTTGCCTCTGGGAGAAAACCAGACTCCTCTGACTCAGTCTCCGAGGCCCCCCAAATGAGTCCCGAAAGCCGATAATCTCCCAAGCTCCTAGAACTTGAAAGCTGTGGGGTTTCGGTAATTTGGGGCTTTGGGTTTAGGGTTTCGGGTCTTCCAGGATTTGGGGTTTAGGGTCGAGAGTTTCGAGTTTTGGGCGGGGTGACGGGAACCCTACTTAAACCAAGGCCCGATACCTTCCTTGGCTAGCCCTAAACCCCTAGACCCTAAACCTGAAACCCTAAAACCTAAACCCTAAACCTTAAACCCTAAACCCTAAACCCTAAACTAGCAAGCTGCCAGCAAGATCTTCGGTGTCAGCGCGGACTCCCAGAACTCAGGGCACTTCAGCCTAGTTCATGGTTGGGATAGGATTAAAAATTTACATTTTTATTCCTTATTGGGTTTAAGTACCCACAAAACTGTAAAATGTTGCCCAACTATGACAAAGCAGCATGGTCGAGTAGCGCCCCTTGGTCAAGTTGCCAACCTGGTTTCAAAAATGCAGGCTACATGTAGCATGATGCCTCAACGACCAAGCCTTACAATCGAACTCAACTCTGGAGCCAAGCCCTAAGCCTAAGACTGGACACCAAACCCAAAATGCTACAAACAACTACTAAGCCCCAGAAACCTAGTCTTAAAATGCCAAACCCTCTAAGCCCTAAGCTCTCAACCCTCATGCCCTAATCCGGAGCCCAGCCGCAGCGAAGGTCAAAGGCAGGGGCGTGAGAACCAGGGAACCGGCTCTTCGAAGTCGGAGAAGCGTCTCCTTCATTTGGGGGAGGTAAAGGGGTGTCATGGCATGTGTTAGGGTTTGGTGAAGGGGCCACGGCGCCGCAAAGGGAGAGGGTGGACGAAAGATGAATCCTGGTAATGTAAAGGTAATATACTAGGACATACAGAGGGCCGGTACAAGCTGTACGGGGATCATATACCTACTTGCTCAGGCCTCTGTATTCGGTGTGGTAATGTCGAATTCGGTTCTACTGGTGTCGCAGGACGTAGTACTATGGGGCTTTCTCAAGCTTTACAGGCTGTTATCGGCTCTTAGGAGATTTGTCCGAGATAGCTGAGCAGGCCGTTTGGGGTGTAGTCCACTATTCTGGAGGGGTGCTACACTATGACGTGATTCTCAAGGGAAGGTTTTGAGTCTGGGACTGAGGGCATATTCGGGGCGTGATAGTTGGAATAGGGCTTGTAGCTTGTGGGGTATGGAGTACTCTGAAGTTGCAGACCCCTGATTAACAAACCTCCTTTCTTTCAGGGCCTTTCGTGCTTAGGGCAGTCAGCTGCAGATATGAGGGTCGTCTCAAAAGTTGGGGCTGACATGTTTACCTATCAAAGTCCCTACTAACCCTACTAAACCCTAAACCCTAAACCCTAAACCCCTAAACCCTAAACCCTAAACCCTAAACCCCTAAACCCTAAACCCTAAACCCTAAACCCTAAGTTACTAACCCTACTAGAACCCTAAGGCCCCCACAACTCCAACCCCAAAACACCTAAAACCCTAAGACCCAAAACTCAAAACCCGAAGGCCGAAAGGTGTCCTCATTGTGCACGAAGTCATCGTTCTCCTGGCCATATAGGATCTGCACCTCCAGAGGGCTCAGTCGGGTTCAAGGGTTTGGGTTTAGATTGCGGGCTTAGGGCTTGGGGTAAGGGATTCGGGTTAAGGGCTGTGCTACTTAGGCTTTCGGGTTCACGGCTTTAGGATCTTGGGTTCGAGGAACCCCCGACTTCATGATCTTCTAGGCCCATTCGAGCGAGCATGTACGGCTTGACCGGGATGTGCTTGAGTTCTCGCGTTTGGGGCTTATTTACTGGAATGATGTTGCAAGCAGTCATACCCGTGCGATAAGATCCCGCGGCGCTCTGGCAGACCCATCCAAATGACTCCGGTTCCGGGGCTTAAGGTTTATGGCTTCGGGTTTAGAATTCTGCCACCGGAATTCCCCTCCCATGTGCCTGAAGCTCCGGGAAATGCGTGTGCGCTTGCAGGGCCACCAGAGGCAGGGAGACCAGAGGCCGTGCCTCTGGGATCAGTATGGAGAGCCTCAGCTTAGGACTAAAGCGCTTTACTCGCATATCTCGTAGTCACTATCTTGTACATCATCTAACACGCCCTGAAATCTGATGGGCCCTGTATGACTGTAATGTAAACTATCCCCAGCCCCCTTTCGTGAGGATTAAGACCACTGGTTGGGTTACAGCTTTCAGGGCCGAGCATCTCGGAGCGGTTGTACTCCGGCTGTCGGTGCTGCACGGCGCTTGTGACCACCAAGCTGAGAAGCAGGGGCCACATGACCAGATGCAGCATCCACTTCACGTAAGGAGCTCCCGTTTGCAGCTCTGCAGCTTTTGAAGGCTTAGAGCTGGAGGTTTCGAAAAAGGTGTTCAGCGTTTAGACATGCGGCGTTGGAATTCAGGAGACTCTGTGTAAAGAAACGTACGTGAGATAGCATAATGCAACAGTATATGTAAAGGTATACGCATATACATGTGTGTGTGCATATGCATGGAGACGTGTATCTTATATTGGAGCTGACAGGAGCTGCAAACGGCCCGGCCCGCAGGCATTAGTCCCGTGATCGCGTTACCAGAAGGCCAAGATAGGGAGTGCCTTGGCTTGAAATGGCTGCCGAGATATATGGTTTAGGTTGCGCGCAGTGCCCTGTAGGTGCCAGGATGTAGGGCATCACGGGGCCCGAACCTGAAACGCACAACCCAACAGCCCAAGGTGAACCTTGTATCTGGCGTCCTGAAAACCATTAGCATAGTCCTGTACGAGCCCGCATGACAATGAAAGCCCTAGCGAGAATCTCCGAAGAGCCTAAACTCTCCATCCTAAATCCCAGCCAAACCCTTAACTTAAACCTACAGTAAACCCTAAACTTCAGAGTAAACCCTAAACTTAAGTCCCAAGCCCTAAACCCTAAACTTAAGTCCCAAGCCCTACCAAACCCTGGATAATCGGGTGTGGCGGGCTTTCGGGGTTCCGAGCTCATGGCCTTCGTCTTGCAGCGCCTTCGGATCCCGGAAGCACGAAGTGAATACGAAGCCCTAGACCCCAAGCCCAGAGCCCGAAGCCCTAGACACCAGATCCCCAACCCCAAACCCTAAACCCTAAACCTGAATCCCAGACTCTACACCCCGGATCCAGACCTCGAGCCTGAAACCCGAACCTTAACCCCTAAACCTTAGGTACTGCCCCCATACAGTAAGAGCCTATAAATGGGGCTACTGTTAAGGTCCTAATATATCTATATTATGAATATTATTCAACTATTACTGAGTAGGGGCCGTACCCGACCTTAACCCCTGAACCCCTAAATCTCAAACCCCCGCGACTCGAAGCCCCAAATCCTGGGTCCCGAACCCCTTTTGAGTGTCTGTGGTATATTGTGGTATATTGTACTATGGTCAGAGTAAAACGGACTAGGGTCCTCGGCATATTAAGGTACATTATACTATGATTAGAGTAAAGAACCCTAAGGGATAGCATTCCCAGAGATGCCAATATCTTGCAGCTTAGTTCGGGAGTATACCATTAAATCATAGTAGGCTCCTTAATACGGCTTAAGGTATATTCCTTCAAGAAGGGATATTGGAGTCTCTGGGTTGGTAACGAGTATATGGGTCTTAAGAATTACCTACTTTAGTTTGGGGTTGCTCATTATAATTTGATGGGAGGCCAAAAGAGGGGTTTAAGATTCTTGGGGTAGGGATTCCTTAATATGAACCCTGTTATGGGAACCCTCATCCCTACTAAACCCCCATAGGCTAAAACCCCTTTTGGCCTCCTATGATAATTATAGTATAATGGGCCCCAAAACCCTATTCTAATTACTATAGTGATTCAGGCGCCTATAGTAACCAGTCAGGGTCAAGGGCCAAGGCCTCCTCATCTTCACCAACCCGCTAAGGACCCGTTGTTACTGTCGAACTAGACCCAAGAGTAACCTAGGAATAAAAAGGGTGCCCTTTTTGGTTTAAAGTGGCTGATAAGGGAACCTGAACCCTTAAAAAGGGAATAAGGGCCTACTCTGGGTCCTAGCGAAGTATCACGTATTGTCGTATAACCTACGTCTGTATAGTCTCTACGCATGCATATGATTACATATACACATTTGTAAATACGGTTATTTTGCCCGTACTTTAAGAGAAACCGACCCAATCGTGGGGCCTTGGCGTTCGCACCCCGCGCCAGACATGGCCGCAAGCATCAAGGGCTCACATATAGGAGCTTTAATGGCGACTTACAAGTGGAATAGGGACGTAACGGTATGTAGGAACAAATAGCGGCACACTACTATCACCTATTCAGACCTCCAGATTAGGCACCGTTTTTGGTGGGCAACGAGTCCACTCTCATCTCATGGGTTGAAATTTACAGCTTCGGCAGGGCGCTGATTTTCGACTTCAGCTCACACATTAGCCAAAGCATGCCGTGTTGTTAGGCTCTGTGCCAACTAGTCTTGTTGTCACGTCCATGAAGACGCTGCCAGAAGATGTGCTACACTTCGCCTCTGCTTTGTGCTCACTAATACCATTATCCTCTTCCTGCTGCTCTGCTTCCTAGCCGTCATCATGGTTTCAGCCACCACCATAGATAGCAGTGCATCAGCATCAGCACTGAATGTATCTAAGCGACCATGACCAGCATCAGCGAAAACCATCGTCGTCATCATCATGACTCTTTTCAACATCATCGCCATCCTGGCCATGCCTATCATATTCAGCAGCAGCAGCAGGGGCAGGGTGAGCATCGACTTCATAAGACTAACGTGACGAGCCACAACCACGATCAATAGCTGCAGTCCTGCGATAATCATGTAACTATTTAGGCCCCTATATTATACTGTAGTACCCTTATGGATCCCTTATAGTAACCCTTATAGACCCCTTTCAGGGAGGCCGACACCAGTGTTGTTCTGCTTGCTGGCGGAGTCGGTTCGGGACTTAATCTGCGTGGCGATGGTGACGATGTGGAAGCTACGGATGATGTAAAAGGACCAGAGAGGTGACTGTAGTGATAATGATGACATTGGTTATGATGATGATGCTGGTGGTGGCGGTGATGGTGGTGGTGCTGGTGATAGTGCTGATGATAATGATGACGATGATGATGATGATGATGATGCAAGGGCAAGAGTACTGAACACAATGGTGACGATGGTGTGGCCGGATGTTTTTCCAGCACTGGTTTTCGTCCGATTCTTATGCTTACGCTGTTTACCAACGGGGCTTGACTTCAGAGTTATGACTGCAGCGGCTACTATGGCTATTCTGTGACTGCTTTGACTCGGTGTCTGACAATATTCACCGTCATAACTACCGCCGTTGTTGCTGTTTTTGCCATAGGCTAGATGCTTTCTCCAATGCCATCACCATCACGATACGCTGCTGTTCCTACTCCTTCTGCCGTTGTCTCGGTGTCGGCACTTATGCACACTAGCACTATTGCTGCTACCTTTCACTAAGGCTATTATTGATGCCATGACTGTTGCTGTTGCAACTATTCTGGTATTGCTGCCATCATTTTTGCCACATCTCTGGGCCGTCGAATCGTCCTGGACACACTGGGGCTCTGCTAGAGCCGCAGGAACCCCCAGAAATCCCGAAACCCCAACCGTCCTAGACACCACAACCCAAAGAGCCCAGTACCCCCGGGTTACCGGGTTTGTTTAGGGTTAGGGCCCCTAAACCCTAAACCCAGAGAGAATTGAATACCCCTTCCTTCCGGAGCGCTCTGAAATTATCGCGAGATGCTCTATGAGGAAAGGTTGCTTCACTCCAGGGTAGTGGGCTCTCTGGGAACCTCAAACACTCACAAACCTTCAACCACCGAACCCCACCTTCGCGAGGTTTGCCAAACTCACCGCTGGTTAGTAGAGAATGGAAGAATGGTAATAATAGTAGTTATAATTGTACCCCATTCCTCCATTCCCTACTAACCAAAGGTAAGTTATAGGATTATTTTGGGTACCCTTATAGATCCCTTATAGTAACCCTTATAGACCCCTAACCAACGGTAAGCAAAGGGCTGCTCCTGTAGGTGCTTTACACGCCAGGAGCTGCCCAGGCAAGGAGTCCGAAGGACCCGGCGGTGCTTTGGGATTGAGGGGTTTACGTGAGGCGTCGTACTCTTTCCGTAGAACCCGACTAACAACCACGATCATTATAGTCGTTACAACTGTAAGCAATAGAAGGAATCGCAATAACAGTCGGTTATACAGAATTCCTTTCGTTCTGAAGGGCTGTATGAAGTTTTGAGGTGTCACTTTACACGTATCGCTGGCTTGCATGAGGGGTGGCGAGGTCGCTAGGGTTTGCGACTTTGCTCTTTCAAGCCCTAAACCCTAAACCCTAAACCCTAAACCCTAAAGGCCGTTGGGGCTTGGAGGCTTCGGGCTGAAGGTTTTGGCTTTTCAAGATTTCGGGGTTGGGGATGCAGAGCACCGGAAGGATCACAAATTTAAAGAACGGTTTAGGGTTTTGGGTTTAGGGTGAAAATGCAAAAACTACCATGTTATGCCGAGAACATGTACAGACTCGACAGTCAGCGATGTCTGAGGGTCCATGTTTTCAATCCCACAGCCTTGTGCCGGCTGCTAGTGGCTTCCCTCATGCCCAAAGGCGCATCTCGGCGGGGAAGCAGATGGCTTGCGCCTGAGCCCAGAGCTTGAATCTGAGGCCATTCAAAGGAACCGAAGGACGGTTTCGGGTTTAGGGTTTTCTTCCTAGTTTCAGTGTCAACAATCTGGCTGTCAGTGAGGCTCAGGCGCTAAACCCGAAACTCAAATCACTAGAAGAGGCGCGCATTTCCCCCAATTTGCCAATCCTCCGAGCACGACTCTAAACCCTCAGCTACAGCTTACTTTGTCCCACCCTCCTGATGTCAAGCTCCTGGCCTCTAGTTTGGCGTCTCGGGCTAGAATAAGGTCTTGGTTAGAATAAGCTAAACTTATAATGTAAGATGTGCAAGGTCTGGCTCAGGGTTTCGGGTTTATTGCGGGTTGCCCCGCGATCACCCTTGAAAAGTATCCCTCAAGGAACCTCTCTATAAATTCTCACAATAACCCTTAAAACCCCGATATGAACCCGTAAAGCCCGCAAAAGAACCTGAAAGACTCTCCCCCCCAAAACCCTTGAACCCTAAACCCATAACTCCCTTAACAGAGTCTCTACTCTTTACAACAATCCCCCAAACCCCTAAAACAACCCTCTCAAGGCAATCCTCAACAAATCCCTAAGCCCTACACCCTATAAACCATAGGGGGCCTAAACCCTACTTGGAGGAGC